CGAGGGTTGATTCGACGAATGAGGGAAAGTGCTTTAGCAGGGCCATGTCGTATCAACGAAGGGAACGAGAAGGAGTTGATCATAGGGGAATCTGATTTCCTGCTGCCTCAGGAGCGAACGTTGATGGTGGAATTAACGAAGAGGAAGCATCGCGCCTACGCGTTTAGTGACGAGGAGCGTGGCAGCCTGGATGTAGACAAGATACCTATGATCCGCATCGACACCGTGCCACACGAGCCTTGGAACATGAGAGGGGCGCGATATCCCAATCCTGACGAGGAAAGGAAGGTGGTGGATTATCTCGGCGGCAAGATACGTACTCACGTCGCCGACTATTCAAGTGGACCGTATGCGTCCCCGTGGTTCTGCTTCATTAAGCCTGACGGGGCGCTGCGGTGGGTGCAGGATTTGCAAAGACTGAATGCAGTGACCGTGCGAGATGCTGGAGGACTGCCGAATACAGACGCGCTGTCGGAATCCTGTGCTGGAAGGCCTATAATTTCGCTTATAGACCTTTACTTAGGATATGATCAGTTCCCAGTCTACCCGCTGGATGGGCCAGTGACAGCTATGCACACGCCGCGAGGATTAGTCCACATGAACGTGGCCCCACAAGGGTGGACCAACGCAGTAGCAATGGTCCAACGGGCCATGATTCGGGCCATGCAGTCAGTTAGCCCCCATATCACACAGCCATACATTGACGATTTGGCAGTGAAGGGGCCAGCGATGAAAGAGAGCGACGTAGTCTCACCAGGGGTAAGGCGCTTTGTCTGGAAACACATCCAGGACCTCGAAAAGGTCCTGAGCCTGCTCGAAGAGCATAACCTCATGGCAAGCGGGGCCAAATCCAGACACTGCATGAGGGAAGCGACTATCTTGGGGATCGTCTGCAATGAGAAGGGCTGAAGGCCGGATGTGAAGAAGACGGACAAGATTACTGAGTGGCCAGTTTCATTCCACTCAATAACTAATGTCAGGAGCTTCCTTGGTACGTGTGGATTTTGGAGGACCTTCGTCAAGAACTTTGCCGCTAAGACTGAACATCTGAGGAAGTTAGTCCGTCAGGATCAGGAATGGGTATGGGGTGAGGAACAAGAAGAGGTGGTGGCAAAAATGAAAGAGGAATTCCGAGAAGGAGGGTTGGTGTTAGGAGCGCCAGATTATGACGTCACAGAGACGCGACCCTTCATTGTCGAAACGGATGCGGGACCGACYGCCTTAGGGGGAGTTCTAATACAGGCAGACATGGAAGGAAAGGAAAGACCCTTGCGATTTGAGAGCCGGACTCTCAGTACGACAGAGAGGAACTACTTTCAATTCAAGAGGGAGACCCTTGCTGTCCTCCACTGTCTGCGAATCTTCCAGAACTATGTCTTCGGCAGGAGATTTATTTTGAGAATGGATCTGACCGCCCTGGCCTACTCTCTAAGGAATTACGTTCCATCGGATCCGACGATTGCCAGATAGCTGACGTATTTCTGGATGTTCAATTTCGAATTAGAACGGATTCCTAGTAGTAAGAACCGGGCAGACGGACTGAGTCGGATCAACTGGGATAAGCAGGAAGGGGAGGCGGTGGAGAATACGCCCCCAGTTGATGGATTTCTGGATCAGGAAGAAGATGTTCGTCTTCATATCAACAAATGGTCGCCGCGAGTGCCCAGCTGTGTAGGCTATCCTATCTGGCAAGCGCCAAAGGGGTATGAAAGGAGGAATGAGCTAGTCCTTAAGCCCTTTGAGGAAGAAGA